ATTGCCTTGGCCTTTACTGCAAGTTGATTCTGGAGTCCAGACAATGGGGAGATGCAAAGAGTGGGGGTTTGGCCACACAGCCTGAGCAAAGAAAGGGCAACTTTCCAAAACAAACAACAATAACCACAGTAACAATAACAAAACCTGAGGTGCTACAGGCCAAACTGAGGGATGAAAAGGACCAGCCATGTGAAGACCTGGGGGAGGTGTGTTCCAGGCAGAGAGACCAGCTGGTGCCGATGGAGGAATGGGTTTGAGGGACAGAAAGGAGGCCGGTTGTTTCCATCATCCATGGCTGTAAGACAAAGCACCAACACTTAATGGCTTAAGGTGCTAACCATTTTCTTTCTCACAGTCTGTGAAATGACCAGACTCACTCGACAGCTCTCTGCTCCGTGTGATTCCAGCTGACCTCAGTCATCTAAAGGCTGGAATCTCCAAGGTGTCTCGCTCACACGGCTGGGGGGCCTCTGGGACGATGGCCCAGAATTCTGTTCTCCTGAGTGTGGCCTCTCCGTGTGGCTTTTGTTTTTTCACAGCATGGTGGCTGGACTCCAAGACAGGAGGTGGAAGCTGCCAATTTCCTTAAATCCTCAGCTTGGAAGCCCTAGAACATCCCTCCCACCACTTTCCACCGGCCAAAGTAGTGGTAGGGCCAGCATATTCAGGGGTTGTGGCTTTAGTGTGTAGGGACCAAAGGAACTGGTGGCAGCCGTCTCGGGAGGCTTTCTACCCCAGCTGGCCCGGCTGGCCACAGTGAAGGGCAGAGTGGTATGCGACAGGGTTGGAAAGGCAGAAAGGGGATAATAGATCAGGGTCAGCAAATTGTGACCCACAGGCCAAATCCAACCCACTGCGTTTTTTGTAGATGAAGTTTTCTTGGAATCCAGCCACACTCATTTGTTTGCCATATTGTCTACGGCTGCAGTCATGGTCCAACAGAGCTGAGAAGTTGCAACACAGATCGTACGGTTCACAAAGCCCCAAATAGGTACTACCCAACCCTTTACAGGAAAGTTTGCCAACCCCTGGGCTAAGTCAGGGGGTGCCTTATATGTCTTCGTGAGAGATCTGAATTTTATTCTAAGTCACAGGAAGCCACTGGAGGGTTTTAAACCAGTGAGTCACGTGATCTGACCTCCATTTTTAAAAGATCTGCTCTGGGAATGGATTATAGGAGGATACAAGTGAACGTGGGAAAACTAGTAGCAGGCTATGGCAACCATCCAGATGAGGAAGGACAGAGTGAAAAACCAAGAGAAGATGAATTTGGCACACATGTTGAGAAGAGGAAGCCCACAGGACTTGCTGAGCCATTGGCTACAGAGATGAGAGGAAAGAGCAATCAAACATGACTTCTAAGTTTTGGCTTAAACAACTGGGCCAATGGTGGTCCCATTAACAAAAAGAAAAAAGGCTCAGGGAGGAGCAGTTTGGGTGAAAAGAGCATTCAAGAGTTCTGTTTGGCACATACTAAGTTTGAGATGTTTGTCAGGCATCCAAGAGGCAAAGTCATGTAAGCAGTTAAACACTTGAGTCTGGAGCTCAGAGTCCAAGTTTGAGAATCATCCGTAAATAGCTAGTATTGAAAGCCAGAAGCCAGGAAGAAATACCTCCTGGGAAGTGGTGTGGAGAGACCCCTAGGCTGGGCAAGAATCAGAGGCCAGTCTTCGGCATGGAAATCAATGGAGAGACTAAGAAGGAGTGTCTGGGAAGGCGGGAGGGAGCTGGGAGATGATGGGAAGGAGTGGTCCACTGGCTTGAATGCCACTGAGTGGTGGAGGGACAGGTGAACAGAGAGGTGATCACCAAATTCGGTGACAGGAGGTCTGTCTGAAACCTTGACCAGAGCAGTTTCAGTGAGTAGGGGTCCTGGACACTGACTGGATGGGATTGAGGAAAACATGGGACGTGGGCCAGTGGAGACAGCAAATACATAGAGACCTCTTCTGACGAGTTTTGCTAACGAATGAGTCAAAACCACGCATTTCCACTGTAGGCTCATGGCCTTGAAAGTCCCTTTCAATGCTGTGGAGCTTTGGCTCCATGAAACGCCTACTCTGGGCCAGCTCATCACTTGTCTGTGACGCTAATGAGGCATTTCTCCCTGATAGTTCATTGGGAAGTTGGATGGAGCAAAACAGAGATCCATGCATAGAGATTCAAGAAAAACCAAAATGAAAAAGAAAGCTTGCAGCCACAGAGAGACGAGTGTAGATTTTCATGGGTTTCTCCCCATTGTCAGAAGGCTGCAAACCCATAAGGCCAGCAGTTTCATTTCTGCTGGGTGGGACACACAGTTCTTCCCTCCTCACTTTCCCAAGGAAGCTAGTTCATACAAACTTCTGAAATCTGTTGCCAAATATAAACGTGCGGCCCAAAGGATAAGCAGATTTCTGAAACTGGGACACAAATGCATCTTGCAGAAGGATACAAAGGATCATTTTTGTTTCAATTTTTTTTTTTCTGGGAAACATTTAGTTTATGACAAACATCCAGGACAAAACACTCACACATTCATGTACACAGAACCTATTGTTATTTTTAAAACTATTTAATCACTTTAAAGACTGTAAAGAAGACACAGAGATAATTCTGTATCTAATTCTATTCCCCGAGGGTCTTCAAAGAGATGATGTGACCCCAAAATCTGAGCTCTGAACCGTTTGCCATCCTATTTTATACAGGTGCAGGCTGATCCTTTAGCTTGCCTGTTTTCCCGGATCATAGAAAGGGGTATGTACAATCATACACGAGCCACATTTCTGTCTTAGCCCATGACCCGGTTTAGAATCCCACATCTGCTCCTTATGAGCCTGTGTGACCCTGGGTGGGTCCTTAACCTCCGTAAGCCACCGGGGCCTCATTTGCCAACTGGTGATAATAGATCTACTTTGCTGTCATGTATTAAACAAGCTAATATAAATAAAGGTCTGTGTATGCATTCTGAGTACAATAAATGGCAGCGGAAGGACAGTATCTGTTAGGACACCCAACCCTTACCAAGAAGGCCAAGCTATGCCATGACTACGAAGGGCATCCCAGATCTCCTGGGTAATCCTATCCTACAGTCCAGCTTGTCTGTGTGTCTGTTTGAAGAATGACCTTGATGCTTTGGGAATCCTGTGATTAGTAGCGTAATTTTAAGCAAGTGTATCTTCAAAGGTCACAGGCTTTAGAAGGTCATCTGCTGACGTTAAGTGTCTCCCATAGGCAGCACCCGAGGGCTCCTTGCTAAGCTCTCCAAGCTCTCCTCTTCCCAGACTTAAAGTCCTCAGCAGCCATCTGGACTTGCTTTGGTTGCCCCAAAGACGAGGAACTTCTCCCCTCGTCGTCTCTACATTTGAAGATGTCACCGTGGGGACTGCTCTGCTGTGGAAATAAAGGCAGTCCCCATTTGGGCCAGTTTGCAGCTTGGCTTTGAATGTTCCCCAAACTACAGCTTGCACAGGAGGGGAAAGTTCTATCCCCAAGCCCCGTGTGACTCTGAGTCAGCTTCTTATAGACTGATGAAGAGTGACGACAGGGCTAGGGAAGACCCACAGTTTTGGCCTGACTTTGGCTACTGAAACACATCTAACTTAAGAACAGACAGGAGTTAGAAGACTAGGCCCTCCAGCAGAAAGGGCCCTTGCTTTGGCCCTGACCTGACCATGTGTAAGCTGGCTGTCTTTGAGGATTCCATCCTCTTGAAATGAAGAAACAGCTGCAGAAGTTACATCAGGTTGTGGGGACATTTCCATTTAAACATATTTGGTTTTTGTTTTTTTGAGGGGGTGAGGTGGATCATGAAAAAGCCAGTGCTTTTGTGTTCTCCACCACTTCCCCTCTGGCCTTCCGGGGTTTCAGCTGTAGCTGAGGGGACATTCTCTGTGCACACCACCAGCACCCACCTTGAGCTCCTTCCTCAGGGCTTTTTGAAGCTTCGATAGTTCACTTTGCCCTTACACCGGCAGCCCGAAGAACAGAGGGTGTTAATATTCCCAGGGCAACCCTCAACCACTGGGGTGGATGGAAAGTCAGTGGCCTCAGTCTCTGGTTCTTCAGGGGTACAATTCTGGAAGACATTCTACACCATTCCTTGGAGAGTCCCTAGCAACAGGGAGCCCCTGATGTCCACAACAATAACCAGTGGATGCACACAGCCTTTACTGGCTTTTTTCTCCTCTTACCCCACTCCCTCTCTCCTACCTCCCGGGACCCTCCCCAAAAGGCAACCTGCACCCAAGACCCAAGTCTCTGCTGAGGGTTTGTTTGGGGGAGAACCTAAACTAAAACATGCATCAGTGAGCATGATGGGAGTGTGTTTATCTTGAATGTTCAGAAATAAAGTTGCTCCTTTGCTGAACAAGAACAAAAAGGGAAGCTGCACTGTTGGGAAGAGGAGTGTCCCAGAAGCTGAAGAAGTGGGGTTCAGCTCTGCCCGCTGGTAACAAAGTGAGGCTGCCAGGTTGACTCTTGACATAGGCCAGGGAAGGAGAGCCTGGCTGATCCTGGGCATGGATGTATTTCACAACCCCAGCCCTAGTGTGGAAGGTGTGAATGGAAAAGGCTGTGGGTTGAGGGAGAGACAAATGTTCCAAGCAGACCATGGAGGCCTGGGAGGCCTGAATTGAGGTTACAGGGTCAGAGAACAAGTGGGCAGAGCAGACTTGTGAAGGAGAGGTGGTCTAGATCAACTGCAGGGACCAAGGGTGAAGACCTCTATCCCATCCCCACATTTGTGTGAGGGGCCTGCCATGGAAGACACCCCTAATCAGCCCGTGGCTCTAACGACAAGGCCATCCCTGGCTGTGGGGCTATTTGTATGGCAGGAAATGAGGAGAAGGAGACAGGGATAAAAAGCAGTCCAATAGGGACACACCTGCATCCCAAGGGCACGATTTTAACCCAAGGAAAGGAAGAGCAGAACAAAAGGTCACCATTAGCGAAGGGGGATTTCCAAGAACAATCAACAATAACTGAGAAATCAAACAATCACTTGCCTTCCTCCAGCTGATTTTATGAGGTTGCTTTATTCTTATTTGGATCTCTGAGTTGACAGAGAAAATGTAGTTCTTGTGTTTCTGGGAAAAGAAATATTTTTTCAGGTGCTCCAGCAGCAGAATAATTTTTATTTCCACAAGAGAGCTGGGTAGTTAGATCCGAGTAGAATTGTCAAAGTTGGACAGCGAATATTGTAGAATTAATCAGATTCTCCTGTAATGAGACAGCAGACTAGAACCCATCAATGAATATATATTGTAAGAATCTTGACAGTACTTTAACTGGTTGTATTATCCCAAACTGGACAACCTCTATCTCACCCCTAATCAAGCCAAGCTAAAAAAGCCCACCTGAGACCCTTTCAACCTGTAGGTTGAGATGGTCTGTGATGCCGTCATTTCTAGATGGCTGATATTTAGAGTTCGATAACTACAATAATCAGACTTATTACTGTAGATCATCACAGCTGTTCCCTTGCAAGGCCAGAATGCAGTTTCCTGATAAAGGACATACCTTTAATCTTAACTAAAATCCTTGCTTCATAATTCCTAGTCTCAAAATGCCTCCTTTGCAATGTTAATTTTAAACACTGCCATGTGTGCTGACCATAGAGATTTAACTGCCAAGACCTGAAAATGAAACTCCCTGAGTACATTAAAAAAATTCTTCAGGACCATATGAAAAATTAATTTTTTAAAAACTGAGGATCACAGAGATGAGTAGGGTTTTATACAATCCAACATATACCTTTCCTTGTTTGCTTGTTTAATTAGCAGTGGAAGTCTGCATGAAAACCATTCTCTCCTCAAACAATCTGAAGTCTCTGCATGATCCACAGGATGCCTCTAGGCCTGAGTTGTCCAAGGCAATAGCCACCTGTGGCTTTCCAGCACTTGAAAATGCAGCTGGTCGAAATTGAGATGTGCTGTTGGACACGTATCAGATTTTGAGGATATAGTATGAAAAAAAGAATGTAAAACATCTCAATAATTTTTATATTGATGATATGCTGAAATGATCATACTTTGAACACATTGGGTTAAAGAAAATATATTATTAAAGTTCATGTCATCTGTTTCTTTTTTAATGTGTCTACCAGAAAATGTAGAAGGACAGACATGTGGCTCCCCTTGTGTTTCCAGGGGACAGTGCTGCGCTGGCCCATCTATTCTGAAGGGGCCGAGGGGCAGGCAGTCTGCTGGAGGGGAGGGCAGGAGGTTTGTCTTGAAGTTCCCTTGCAAAACAGGTCAGTTTTCCCCTAGAGTGCATGTTGGGGGTAAAGGTTTATTTTCAGGGGCTGCTGGATGTTACTTGCGAGTCAAGGTGTTATAACTCATCCAGCAGGGAGCTTTTCTGCCCCACAGTAACCAGAAGTTGTTGTCTAACCTTTTTTTGCATTTTAGAAATGGTGTAGCAGCGTACAATTCCCAGTGCTTTCCTCCTTCCCTCCCTCCCTCCCTTTCTCCTTCTCTTTCTGTCTCAAACAGCTTTATTGTATAATTTACATATCATAAAATTCGTAATCTGATGAATTGTACTACACTTACACAGCGATGCAGCCATCACCATAATACAGTTTTAGGACAACTCCATCACCCTGGAAATTTTCCTCCTGCTCTTTTATACTCAATCCCTGTTCCCAGCAGCCTCTAGGAAACCGCTGATCTGCTTTCCATATCCATAGCATCTCCTCTTTGCAGAAATTTCATATAAATGGGATGAACAATATGTGGTCTTCTGTGTCCGGCTCCTTTCACTTAGCGTACTGGTTTCCAGGTTTATCCGTGTTTGCGGTGTCCCTCTGGCCAGCTCCGGTTTTTTGGCCTACTTTTAGAGGAGACAGAAATGGGTGCTAGGAAATTTGGGGAAATTCCTCAGTAATTTGATCTGAGCCTAGGAAAGTTGCCGAGGGTAATAAAAGGACACCGAGAGTTTCATGTCACACTGGGATTTGATGATAGGTTACTGCTGGCCTCTCCTCCTTCTGTTTTAAAAAGAAAATGAACTGTATTGGCAAAACCATATTCATTTCCCCATTTTACCTTCCTGTTCTTGCCCATAAAGTTATGTAATTCATACATTATTGTACTCACAGTATAGATAAAAATGTGATATTCTACAGTTCTTTTCCTTTACTGAGTGCTTTTTAAAATAATGATGATAAATTTGCTCCCCAGCATCCATGGTCTCTCATCTGGAAACTGAGCAGATGTAACTGCTTTTTATGGAATTTAACACTGTGACAGTCACTCATTTATTCAAAGAAGTGCGAGCTCTTATGGCTCTACTTATATTGAAATCTAACCAGATGAATCTAACGTCCCACGGTCCTAAGATTTTACATTTGTGTAAGTCCTGGTGTTTGTTTGATTAACAGACAACAGCAAAGAAGAATCACTCCAGGGACTCAATTTTCTTTGCTAATAAGCAGGTACCAAAATAATGAATATATTATGACACAACCTTCTCCCCCAACTTCAAATCCCTGACAAATTTACCTACAATAATATGCGGGCTTTGAAGTGTGGGTGGCTGGGATTTCTGATAAACACACCCATAAAGACCAAATCACACAGAAATTGCTTTAGGAACCTTGGGTGAAAATCACAGACTGTGACAAGAAGGGGTGGGCAGGAAGGAGTTGAAAGATGCAGGCTGGGATCAAACCTCCTTCAGTAACATTTTTAATCAAATAAAGGGAAAACTCATCTGTTTCCTGTCTCTTTTGCAGACTAGGGCGTGTTTCCCTCGCCATCCCCACTGAAGCAGCAACGGCCGGGCCCCTCCGTGTGGTCCCCTTGGCTTTGGAAGGCAGCTCCGCACACACTGGCTTTTCCCTCGGGCACCCACGTGGCCGCCTACGGGCTGCTTCTGCCACAGCAGCTGGCTGGGCCGGCACACAAGATCCCCAGGCCAGCCTCAGAGACGAGGGAGAGGAGCTGGTGAATGAGCCCACCGGCCCTCACCCTAGTGGGACAGCTGGACGCGTGTTCTGCACAGCCTCTCAGAGGGGCCGCAGCAGGATTGAGGCCCCACTGCCCTCATGGGCAACCTGCTCGTTAACTCCCCCTTTTCAGCTTTGCTCTCTTCTCTCCCCCACTTCCCCGCTTCCCGCTCTGCTTTCCTGGGATCGCTTCCCAAAGATGACTTGACATAAATCCTTTACCTCAGGGTCCACTTTTGGCGGGAGCTCAACTAAGACAGCTACCCAAATTTTAGATAAATACAGACTTTAAAGGGATTCTATGACTACTTGCTACTTTTTTTAGCCGAATTTTCCAGGTCATCCTTAGGAAGACCCAGAAAAGAGAAATGAAAACAATGAGAGTCGCACCAAATAGCGGCTGTGTTCTTGAGCAGTGTCACCTGATGTCATCATGTCCCCCTAATTCTACTGTAAACACACTGCGGTCTGGGACTAGGAGGCTGGACACTGTGTAGAGCTTACACGCATTAGCTGATCTCCTTCTCACAACAGCCCCCTGAAGTGAGTACTACTGTTATCCTCATCTACAGAGGAGGAAACTGGGAGGTGAAAGTTAAGTTCTGCTGCCTAGAAAAGGCAGCAGCAGGATTCCAGCCCAGGCAGCCTGGCTCCACATTCTCAGAGTAAAGCCTCTGACACAGGCCTGAGTCAGTGAGAGGTGTCTGATAAATGCTTGCTTGATTGCGGAGTTACTACATGTGGAGAAAGGGAAGAAGATGGTCTATGTAGTATCTTTGAACGTTTGACCATGAACCCTTTTAGCAGTCTGTGAAGTCCACAGAGTCTTTCCCAAAACAATATACCGCACCTCACGGCATGCGGGATCCTAGTTCCCCAACTGGCTATCGAACCCGTGCCCCCTGCAGTGGAAGTGTGGAATCTTAACCACTGGACCACCAGGGAAGTCCCCAAAACAATATTTTTAAGTGCATAAAAGAAAATATATAAGATTACAAAGGAAACCAATTATATTGAAATGCATTTATCAAAATGTTACCACAACTTGTAACCTAGCAATACATAACTTCATCCTATAGGGGTGATTACACATTGCAATGGGCTCCATAAATGTGTCAAATCTGTCTGTGACAGGAATGGGCTGAGCTGCCCAAAAGGCTGGTTTCAGGATAGACCTCAGTGATTGGCTCCAGAACCTGAATTACAAGACCTCTTCCCTCCAAGTCACCCTCCACCTTCATTAACTTCCTAAAACACAGGTTTGATTGTATTTCTCACCCATTCTAAACCTTTCAATGCCTGCCCTCCATTGGCTCCAGAATAAAGTCTAGGATGCCCAGGATGACATTCAAGGTTTGCATGATCTGAATCCAACAATTTACCTTACTAACCCCCGGCCAGTGCTTCCCACGTTCCTTACACCCCAGCGGCAGTAAATTCCCTGCTGGAATGAGGAAGGGCCGCATGGCAGAATCCTTTCCCTTCAGATGAAACTTCTTTGCAAAGTCTTCTGCCATGGTCCCTCTCCCAGGTAAAATTAATCACTCCCCTAAGTGCACATAACTCTCTCCACATGCCTCTACCATAGCATAAGTAACACATGATGTTATAGTTTCTGTGGGCATATATTCTGGCTTACTACATGAACAATACCTTGTTCATCTTAAACAGGACCCAGTGGAATATCTAGCCCAGGATGAGAATTCAGTTAATGTTGGTTAAAACTGATTTGAGGGTGGGACATGGGTAGTTGATTTGACACAGGTTTGAGATACCCGTGAGGACTATCTCAGTATTTGCCTGCAAAGATGATGGATCATTAGGAGTCTGGGAACAAAGCTTGAAGTGATCCACAAAGATCATGAAACTTCCTTGAAAATGTGTTATCTTCAAATTTCCTGTAAAACTGTCTCTTTCATAATATATTAACACTTGTTATCAGAGTAATGTCATTGGTTTTGCTCAAATTTTTAAGAAAAATGGACATTCCTAAAAAAAAATCTGTCCTCTTTCTCCTGTTTCTTCTTCTACGCCCTGGCCTGCCAATAATCCAGTGGGTGCAAGTACCCAGGGACCTAGGGCTCCTCTTCCTGACCCGGAGATGAGGGAACCATTTGGCTGACTTTAACCAGAAGTCCCAGGAGAGCTCTCCTCCCACCTCCTCAGGCAGCTGAATGCTAAATACGCCGCATCTGGCAGGACTCTGCCTCGCAGTAAGTTCAAGTGAGTAATTATTCCACAACTTATCCATTTTCTCATCTTCCTCCGAAGTCTTTCAGGGATGACTCACTCTGTGACATGAAACAGCTGGTTGGGTTCTTCCATGACGTCCCTTTGTATTTGTTACTATTGTTTTCACAGTTCTTTGGTTGCTGTTGGGACTTTATTACCCCTGACTTCCTTCTTGTCCTCAAACTCTTCTTTGACTCAGGAAGGCCTGAGCACGTGCTCAAGTTTTCCCCTTTTGTTTGAGTTTGATCTACTTCCTTACGTTTTAACTATGGTGAAGTGGAAAGAGCATGGGTTTTTCAGCCAAGTAAAGCTGGTTGCAGTCCTGGGTCTGCTACTCACTGGCTATATAACAGCATGCAGACAGTATCACCTCTTCTAGCCGCAATATACTCATCAGTAAACATGGGAACAATCAAACCTATTTTACAGGATGTTACAAGAGCTAAAGGTTAGGTGTGTAGATGCACCTTATACAGTATCTGGCGCAGAGTAAATGATAAATGAGAATTTTCATTTCCTTCCTTCTACTAGAGAGAGAGTCTAGTTCTGTGGTCTGAAAGTCTGGTTAGTGGTGGTGCCGAGTGAAGAGGCAGTGGCAGTGAAATCTGCAGGTGGCCATGCCCCTGGGGGGTTCGGTGCCCTTGCCTCAGTATCTCCAGCTCCTAGCCAGGTGGCATATAGTCGTGCTTCAACAAATACCTGTTGACTGAATGAATGAATAAATGGATAAAGGAACGAATGGGTACATTCCTCCAGAATGATAAAGGATTGGAGATGAATAACCAAGTTACGTCAAAGCAATCAAATAATTTGTAATATGTGACGCTTATTTCCAAAAATCCGTCTGCTCCCCGCACCTCTGACACTGCATGATGACAAGTCGGCAGTGGAGGTCCACCACGCTAGCAGGGGGAGAGGCGGGCAGAGGTGGCGGAGGCCTGGGGGGATCAAGCGGCCCATAAAGCCAGAGTAGGCGGGCCGAGCAGATCCCGCCCGTGCAGGAAGTAGGTTGTCAGGGCGATCAGGAGTCAGCAGGGATGGCTGAAGAGGCGCTGCCCTGTAATCACTATTGTTTCAGCATAAATACATGTTGTTGTTGTTTTGTTCTGGCAGGTGACTGCTGTGTTTCTGGGCTGCAGCAACGGTTCTGACTGTGGAGGTGTCTTTGAGGAGCGAGCTCAGATGACTAAGCTTGGCTTGGCGTCACCATGGCTTGCCACGGCCGGCGTCCCTGGCCTCCCAGCCCGTGTCCTGCCTCTGGCTGCGCCATCCCAGTCCCTTCTCCACACCGCGGCCACAGCGACCTCTCCAGCCCCGATCAGATCTTATCAACCTCCCTGCCTCCCAGCCCCCACCCCTATTTCCATGAGAAGCCGAATCCCACCGCCTCAGTGCTCAGCACCCAGCCCCTTGGTGACCCAGGCCCGGCGCAACAACACTGCACACTGGCTCCCCAGACACTCCAAGCCCACGCCCCTCACGGCCTCTGCGGCTCCCTGGGTCTGCAGAGCTCTTCCCGCCCGTCCTCACAGGGCTGGTCCTTCCTCCTCACTCAGCTCTCAGATCGGTTCCTTCCCCACAATGCCCTTCCCTCACTTTCTGAGCTCTCTCCCGCCTCCTCTCTGTGCCTCTACATTCTTACTTTCTCCAT